TAACGCACAGGTTACATCTCACGGGAGGGGGGGGGGGACCGGGGGAGGGGAGGTGGAGAGAGGGGGAGGGCGGTGGGGGAAGGGGGGGAGGGGGAGTGGGTTCTGAACGCCCTGAGGCTGGATAGTCTTGGCGAATTTTTTGGCAACCCCCATATTCCTCATCGGCTCGCCAGTGTATGTTTGCCACTCCTTGTCAGCGAGACCATATTCACAGAAAGAAGCCGATTCATTGTTGCATGCAAACTTGATTTGATCCCAGACGTTTTTGCTTACACATCCTCGTTTGCGCACCAGTCATCAAGCTCACTTTCAAAGCTCGACTCCAGGAGAATGAGCGCCTGCGCCATCATGTGAAGTCTTTCCAGCGTGATGTCAACGAAATTTTAGCATGAACAAGAGAGATGTTAATGCCTCGGAGCTGTAGATATGCGGACCGAAAGCTACAAGGGATTGTCTTCTGCGTTCTTGTTCATGCAGCAGAAAAAGTGGATGCCGCCAAAGGTGGTTTCCGGACGTTTCACCAACGCTTTGCTAGTTGCGCCGTCTCCAGGTGCAGCATGCGACCTGCTCCGGTGCGGAAAACACACACCCGTTGAGGAACCTCCTGAGCCGCCTGCAGTCCTGTCACCCAGCAAAGATAAAGTGGTAATGTCGCGCAGACTGTGGTTGGCCAGGTCTAGTTTCCCATTCTTTTGGGCTTGAGCCGTGTCAACCAGACTCTTGGTGCAAGTGGCAACATGCAATCAGACATTGTGCTCCACTTATATTAGTGCTTTGTTGTGTCTTGGCTTGACGAAACGGGGGGTAGCTCCATCCACATGACATGGGGTGTCTTGCTCGTGCTGGCGCTGCTCAGTCCAGGAGGCTCTGGAGTGTTTGGGGTCTTTGCTCGTTTTGGCGATATCATGGCCGACATTTGAAGGACTGCAAGGTTTCGGCGATGAGGCGACGGGGCGGCTGGGTGGCAGGTTTCCCAGATTTGTTCTTCAGTGCGTTGCACTGAATACGGCAGGTTTCCCAGTTCCGCGTGGAGCCTTGCAACCATGGAGAGCAAGAGGCCTGCTGTGATTTCCGGATACTTCTGGCAGGATTCCAAGAATCCAGGCTCTCCACAGGTTTTGGTTCGCACAGCGTTTCCTTGGTGCTGCGGCAGTCGTCATTTGCAGCCTGAAGCATGAGATGAGACTCCTGTTGGCAGGCGAGCGTGGAAATCGTTTGGCCGAGGCACGCATGCATGCAACTGTGTCCACACTTCCTGGCAAGTGTCTTGAGGCGAGGGCAGATCCTTCAACCAACCTTGACGCCGATGATACTCCGCACAAAGATACGGGGTGACTTTCGATTGCGCGAGACTGGCTATGTCAACGCAGTCATCGCTGGCACCGATGCAGATCGCGCGCACGAAATGTCGACGTTTACGAGGCTGAAGTCTGCGGAACTCAACATCGAGGTGTTTGGCCTCCAGTCGGGGAAGTACTTCGTTCAGGCGGAACACAGCACAGCTATAATTGTGTTGTTCAGACTGACAACTCTTCTGTATACCTGCGCCGGCAAGGGTAGCTCAGCTTATGTTGCTCTGATCCATGGAACTTGTTCAGAACGCGGAGAAAGCATGCAGGCTGTGACTGCTGCGTGAAACAAACTGTCAGATTTGTTGCCGTGCAGAGCGCATCAGTATCCTTTCCACTCGTCTGCCTCCTGCCCCGATGCCTGCGGCGTCCCATCTGATTGGCGTCTCTGGGGCAGCGCCTACAAACTGTGATCCCAACATTTATCTCAGCTTAGCCACTCCCACTGGTGTAGCTCACTGCTTTAGGCGCGCAGCTAGCCACAGATGGCGGTTCACGACTCAAAAGTTCCAGCGCATCAGCTAAACTTTTTTTTCGACTGCCAACTCGGAATCTGATGGTGCAGTGGGATTGGTCCAATCAGCACCTCCATCGACGCACCCAGACCGTGGAGGCCTTCCTTCTTTGCTTCTGATCCTGGAAGTTATGCTAGGATCCTCCTACACCCCCCAAGTTATGAATCTTTGGCGTGCCGCGAAGGCAGAAGCTAAACTGCCATACTAAACCTATGGCTGAAAGCGCCGGCATTGCACCTTGCAAGCCAGACAGGGCCTGCAAGGAAGCGTAGGCCGCTACAACATTTCTGAGCTTTTTTTCCCGAAAACCCCTCTGGGGTTGGGTTCTCGTTTAGTACACAACCGCGAGGGCGCGATATCGGTGCGGCGCTTTCCGGCAAGAGTAAATAAAGACTAAATGCTGCGCGGTTGGATTTTGCGCGTGGATTTCGCGCGGGTGGTGGATATCGCCGGTGGTGGAGCGGGTGGTGGATATCGCCGCTGGTGGATATCGACGGTGGTCTCACGCCGGTCTCGATGCGACGGGCCAGCGCGGGTGGTGGATATCGCCGGTGGTTGGATTTCGCGCGGGTGGTGGATATCGCCGGTGGTGGATATCGCCGGTGGTCTCACGCCGGCCTCGATGCGACGGTCCGGATTTCGC